TTTATTCCATATAGATTATTCAATTTTCAGAGAATTCTCAATAATTGGACTACTTCTAATTGCTCTTGGTACGGGTGGTATAAAGCCATGTGTAGCGGCATTCGGTGGTGATCAATTCATTCTGCCGCAGCAAGAGAAACATCTCGTCATGTTCTTCTCAGTCTTCTATTTTGCCATAAATTCTGGCTCACTCATATCAACATTCCTCACTCCGGAACTCCGTAATAACGTTAAATGTTTTGGAGATCAGGAATGCTTTTCCGTCGCCTTCCTTGTACCGGCCATCCTTATGATTGTCTCAATTAGTACGTCAAAATGAATTGTAACCATTACGACCATCTATACATTAAACACATTAAACATTCCAGCAATTTACGCCCATAATTCATTAACTGCGATTAACTTGTTTCCTTTTTATTTCCAGTCATATTCGTAAGTGGAAAATCTCTGTACAGACTGAAGGAACCAGAAGGCAATGTCGTCTTGGATGTTGTCAAATGTATGTCGGTAAGTTTTTGCAGTCTGCTAATTAAGTGATAAAGTAATGATTCATATATTTTATTCAAGAAAAACTTGTTTTATATTTTCAAAAGAGAGCGGTTTACAGAAAAGTAAAGAGAAAGAAAGAGGTTGAGCGTGAACACTGGCTAGATTATGCAGATGATAAGTATGACACCACATTAATTTCCGATATTAAAGCCGCTCTGCAAGTGCTGACTCTCTTCATTCCGTTACCATTCTTCTGGGCTCTGTTTGATCAGCAAGGATCACGATGGACCTTTCAAGCAACAAGAATGGATGGCCAAATTGGGAGCTTTCTCGTAAAAGCCGATCAAATGCAAGTTATCAATCCACTCTTCATTGTCATCTTCATTCCAATATTTGAAACCTGTTTATACCCTTTAATGGCAAAGATCAAATGCATCGATACACCATTAAAGAAATTGACTACTGGTGGACTTTTAGCGGCCGTCGCCTTCATTTTGTCGGCTCTCGTGGAATTAAAATTAGAGGTAAACATGTTTGGCTGATGATATGTTTGATATGTTTGATAACTAATGTTATTGTTTTAATTATGTAGACGACTTACCCTGTTCTTCCAACCAGTGGAACAGCACAATTGCGGATTTTTAATCCAAGAGACTGCACATTGCCAATTATAGTTAATAATCAATCGATAGTTATGGAACCGTTTGGTATTTGGGGAGACAGTGATGTGAACATAAATGGGAATAAATCAATAGCCTACAGTGCCGATTTTTCGCAATGTGGTTCAAACAAAAATTTCTCAGGAATTATTACAGCTGTAGAAGGCCACGCTACTTCATATGTACTTCAACCGTCTTCAGAATCGTATTCGTATATGTACGAGGATTACGTTAATAAGAGTACGAGTGGAAATCCTGCAATTCGAGTGCTGAGTTATAACACATTGGGGTCTAAAGTCATCACCAGAGTTGAATTAACACAGGCGAATTATGTTTTTCAAACAACAAGCACAGAACGGGATATAGCACAAGTAACACCAGTGGCTGACTTTGCTCCTGGAGAATATAATATCAAAGTCAATGGAAAGGATGTTGGATCCATCTTCATCAAACTCGGTGGTGTTTATACCCTGCAGACGTATATTCATGAGAATATAACGAAAATAAACCTCACCACCATCACTTCAGCCAATTCTCTTCACATCCTATGGCTCATTCCTCAGTACGTCGT